CCATCCATCCATCCATCCATCCATCCATCCATCCATCCATCCATCCATCCATCCATCCATCCATCCATCCAATACAGCAAAATGAGAGAATAGAGATGGAATGAAGCAGAATGAAGAAAAGGGATCCCTGTGTCCTCCAGCAGTCTAAGGCTATAGCAGCATAACCACACTTTATGACTCCTCGGCCAATCAGGTTCACTCTACCTCATGAGTCCTGTTTTACCTATGAAAGAAGAGGAAAATCTCCTCAAACATTCAATTCCTCCTGCAGGGAACAAGTTCCTTGATTTATTCCCACAGTACTTAATCTTTTAACTAAAAATGAGAAAAGTCTTTAGTTTGATTTTTCTGTTACTGATAGAAAGTGTCTTCTTGCACCATTATTCCCGTTAATGGCTTTGCTTTGGTCTGTTACTGAGATGAAATATAGGAGGGAAGAGATAAAGCTCTTCAGGTCTATCTACCATCTGACCCTGACCTTTGGTCATGAGGATCCATTCCAAGGTCATGAGGATCCATTCCAAGGTGTTCCCATTGAGGGTCTAGGGGCCTTGAATGGCCCCTAGACCCTCAATGGGAACACCTTGGTAGGTCAAGCTGAGGAAGTTCTTATCAGGGATAGCCATGCTCTATTTTGTCTTTATTTTTTCCTTTTCTAACAGATTACAGGGGCTGTGTTGTGACTCCAGAGGTGATAGAGATCCTTGATGAAGAAAAAAGGTGGAAAGAATCCATCAAATCCTGTGAAACTAAAAGCCTGAAACTTATCAGCCTTTCTGACAACAGACTGCAGAAACACTTGTGCAGTAAAATATCCGCTGAAGGTGTGAAGGAAGCGTGGATCGGGACGCGTCGCAGTTCTTTGACTGGGGACTGGTACTGGTTGGACAAACAGCAATTCGGAGATTCAAACTGGGCTTCTGGTAAGCCTGGAGACAAGGACCAGTGTGCTGTTATGAGTCTGAAACCCAACGATGACTGCAGCTGGAAGGACAAGAACTGCTGCGACGCCATCCGTCCTTTCTGCTACAAACCTCCAGAATTCCTGCCGATGTAGTGAAAAAATGTCTTCCTGGACAGATGGAGGAGAAGCAGCCTGCTCCGATCTCTCCTGTCGGCTGGCAGTGAGCAGAACCACTTCTGTAATTACTATAGTCCTTATAGGCTTAGCTTTAGCCTTTAGCTGCGTTCAGTGTGTTCTAGTTTGGTACTTTTGGACAGGACCTGGCAGAGAAATTCAAAGTGAAGGATTAGCAACACGAAGTAGGCGTCTTATTGTACTAGTTTTGTTCAACAGTTAGTTTCAGCTCGTTTCAGTTCGGATTTCTGCTCCATTGTGAGTGTTTTGTTTTATTTCCGCTGATTAGCTCCTGTGTTTTCGAAACAGGAAGCCCCTGTATCCTTTCACCCAAATCAAAGCTTACAGGTGTAGCAGTGCGGCCACCGTCCTACGTATCAGAAACACCGTTCACTCTCATGTGACTAAACTTATTTTTGAATCTTAGACAGTTTTTAAAAAAATCTGCAGGTTTCCATGGGGATGGAAATTTCACCTGATGAGCAGCACCACATGTTTAGTGCTGGAGAAGTTCTACAGTCATCTGGCTCCTGTCGGATCACTGCGGTCAGGCCTACAGTAGCAGCCATTCAGAATTTCCCCACTTTCCTTGTTCGGTCTCCTACAATTCCCTTTTAAACATCAACCTTTGTACTAAAATACTTTCTGTCATTATTTTGGGACATTGAGATTTAATGAGCACCATCATCTCCTGGTCAGACCCTGTAATTCAACGATAGGGCGGAGTCAGACTAAAAAAAAATGGGAACGGCCATTTTGAATGGCTGCTATTGTACATGCGATGAATTCAGGGTTTATAGGAGCAGGTGTTTACAGTAGTAGCCATTTAAAATTTCTCCACTTTCCTTAATGGGCCCTTGGCTGGTCCTTGGATGGTTTTTAAAAAATCCAAAATATTTTTTTCTGTCATGATTTGTGGACATTAAGACCTAAAGAGACCCTCTAATTCAGTGAAAGGGTGGGAAAAAATGTGCAGGAGGGGGGGTGACTGCAGTGGCTGGAAGTTGGAGGGGATTTTGCTGCCATTGGGCTGGATTTTGACTGGGAAAAGGCCATTTTTAATGGCTGCTACTGTATCTCTTTACATCACAGTCCTTTATTTCCGCTTTTACCTGAATAATTTAGAACAAACTCAGCAATGTTCTCGGTTAAACTGCTTGCATCCAAACTAAACAAGCTGGATCTTTTCCAAACTTTTCCAGTAATTCTACTTTTTCTTGTCTCTGTTAATTTTTTCCTTAAAGTTTAAGTAAATTTCATCAATTGAGTTTTTCGACTGATTTGAACAGAAGCTAGGATTGCTTGAGTTAATGTAAAAATTGAAATATTTAATCTGTAAAATGTAGACTTTGTTTTTTGTTTTTTTCTCTGCAGTTGCATTCAGTTTACTGATGTTATTTAGAGAACAGAAAATAGAGAATAAGAATTCCTACTACCAGGTAACATTAGATGTGATGATTTTGGTCTCAGGTAATTATTTTAGTGTCTGTTTCAGAGCAGAAACCTCTGGCTGCTCCGAGGTTTTTATTTTATGTTTTTAAGGTGGTGTTGATCATTGGTGGTCGGATTCTTGTTTACTGATTAAAGCTAGAAAACAAAGAATGTAATCTTTATCTCTGCATGCTACATGAATGAATCTAAAATGTATAATAAATCATTTTAAATGACTGAACTGGATTTTAATTTTATTTCATTCTACTGACACAAATATTCTAAGTGTCAGGATTTGGTTATGGAGTGTAGACCCAAAAGCAGAGGCAGGAAGGCAGAGGTGAATTTCTTTAGATTTAATCTGAAAGGGAAACTGAAAAGAAATGCAGATTATCCAAAAATCAAATAATGAAAACGAAGTCCAAACAAGCATCAA